GTTAGACCATATGGGGTACAGATCTCTAGGGTTTACTATTTGTACTGCCTTCCTTGTTAGTTCAGCCCATTCCAGTCTGTTATTTCGACAGTTCCTTCTCGTGCTGGCCTTATCGTACGGGCTGCGGGGCAGCGAAGGAGCTCGAGGAGAAGGACTTACGCCCAATCCTGAGCAATCGATGTGAGAGAAATTCTCGCTCCCGAGGCGGCAAACAGTGCGAGGAAATGATGAGCGAAAAAAGGGATCGGCGACGGAGTTTCTGTACATTTACCTTTTTTCTCGCCGACGTATAATGCCCGAATCTTGTGTAACTTCATGTGCTCCTTTCTACGCCGTTTGCATTCTTAACACCTGCTAGCTTTTCTCCGGTGATTTTTACCTCGAGTTTGAGAAGCTCTCTAGACTAGTTGTGCTCTTGAGACTTTCCCTGGCATTGCTCCGTAACAACATTCGTGATTTCCTCTGCAAAAAACGTGCCGCAATTTCCAAAATGTCATCACTAGCTGTACAAAACCACCTGTTTCGCACTCCTTCCCATCCCCTGTTGGCTCTCAATCCCCCCAAACCGTCCCCTTTACAGTCGGATTCGTAAACGAAGCCTCGTTCGAAAACCCTGGCAAATCGCGCAGTCTCTTGCTCGCCCAAGATGCCTCATCGCAGAGCAAACTGCAGTCGTAGGGGGAGCAGCAGAGGCAGAAGCAGCTGGAGATGAGCCGGCTTCAACAGTCGGCGTCATACAAGGCTGTGCTTGCATACCAGGAGAATGAGCGGCCGAAGGAGCTACAGAAGCAGCAGCAGGAACAGGAACGGCTTGAGAAGGAGCGACCTCAGTTGAAGCAGCAGCGGCTGGAAAGGGAGAAGGACTCCTTCTCGGAGATGAGCCGCCTTCAAGCGGAGGCGTCAAGGAAGGCCTATTTGGAATACCAGGAAAGGAAGCGACAGGAGGAGTTGTACAAACAGCAGGAGCGGCAGAGGCAGCGGGGACGGAGCATGGCGGCCTGCGTCCGGCAGAAAAAAACTTGCACCGCGGGCATGTGTAAAGATGGCGAGACGTGCAAACATTTGGACACGTGCAGGTGGTATTTATGCCTGGCGGACAGATCTAATCTGCAGACTAAGACGCCCAGGACAAAGGTGGATAAGATTAGTAAGAGTCCCGATCAAGAGTCTTTGGCTCCAGAGGAGAGAAGAGGTCGATTGGAAAGCCCGTGGAGGAGAGTGATTAGGGAAAGAGGAGCAATGTGAAGGTACTATAGCAGTCAAGCCCATAGATAGAGACGCCTCGTGGGGAGGGAGAAAATAAGTGTTAGGGGCAAGGGAAGAGGGAGTGTGAGGGGAGTGTTTGTGAGGGCGGGGGGTTGTTGGTTCACGGTGGTTTTTGTTTATTTGTGAGGTGTATTGATGTGCATCTCAATGTCTGCTGATTGCGAGTTGTATTGTGCCACTTTTATAAGAAATTATTTTTCACCATCTTGCAAACGTAACGAAGATTTACCTTCAGGGAAAATGGCTACCTTTTTATCTTTTTTTTAACCTCTTCAATCAAACTAGCATTTACGACCAAGCGAACCACGAAGTTACGTAGCCTGGCGAAGAAAACGAAACACGCCGAACCCCCAAAAGAAAGGCGCGCGATTTCTCCACTTCACACACTGGATTTCGTGAAACACATCGCAACACAAAGGCCGCGTTCTGCGGGCGCATCAGCTCTGATGCGCCCTAGGCTCGGCCTGATCCGCACATTGACAAATTGAGGTTCGGAAATCAGGAATTTGAAAACGAAAATTTGAGGTTCGGGAAATAGAAATTGAGGTACGGGAAATCGGAAATTGGAGATTTGAAAATTTCGACATTGCAGATGTCGATTTCAAAGGCCTTGTTCTGTTGGCGCACAGGCCATTCGCCTCTGCCGCACAGGTACTGCGGGCCGGGTTTTCCGCGAAAGTAGAAACGGCCTGCAGCATCGTCGAAGAGTTCACTACTCGACAAAACAAAAAAAACAGTTTATTCCTGCGTGCCCGAGAAATTGTAGTTTCGCACTGCCCAGGCACCCTTCTTGAGTGCAAAATCTGCAAACTGATGGTCTGGATGTGGCTCCCTTACTGGTCAGCCGTCATATTATTTTTGGGGTGAGTATTCCACCGAAAAAATACCCCAAAACGGGCGTTAAACCTGCCCGTTATTGGTTGTGCGCCTCTTCAATTCCCCGTCGACGAGCGCACAGAGCTCGCACAGACCATGCGGGAAATTTGCCCGTAGAACCAAGCTCGTGGAATCTTCTCAGCGCACAGTGAGCTCAGCGTTCTTGCGCACGCATGAATAATGCGCGTACAACTCCCGCACCAGAGGTTCGGGGGACAATAACGATTTGGGAGGCTCGACAAGGGCTTTAATCCTTACATTGCGTGTTCCGAGAATGTTCATGGTCTGGGCTCAGCACCCCTCGTGCGCCAACAGAACAAGGCCAAATTTCCTCAAATTCGGCATTGCAGAGGGATCGGGGAAGTCAGAAAGCACGTGCCTGAGGCCTTCGCATGATGCATGTACATCCTGCCCGACGCTGCCCACACACGAGCCGGGTAGCTGCCAAAAAATCTGAAGGGGAAACTCGAACACCCCTTGTGATCGAAACCCCTCTGCATCGATTTAGAAACAATTTTCTTGTCGGGCAGCAGAGGGCAATCAATGTCGCGGCCGTTTTTGTTTTATGGCGTTGTTCAGTTGCCCCATTCGAGCTGATGCGCGCATCATGCGCGTTCCCTGCGTTGCATCATGCGCGCATCAAGGATGCGTCAGATTGCTAGGACGATAAATTTCGCGGAAAGCGGCGACATGTAAATTTGTGCTTGCCAAAAAGGCCGTTCTGCAGGCATTCGGTCTTGGTTTGCCTCGGCAGCCAAGCGCTTATCGCGAGCCTTGATAACCCGTCGGCTGGTTATAGAGGAAGGCTCCTGGAAAGTTTGGAAAATGTTGCAAATACATTGATGCGGGCTAATGCGCCCGCAGAACGCGGCCGAAGTTAAAATTCCCCTTTCCCGCCCAATTCCAATCCAGTTACGAATAGGTTTCTATGCTGTGTGTGCTCTCTCGTCGTTTTTTCTAGGTTTCTATCCATTGCGCTCCTCTCGCCATTCGGACGGAAACTATCGCTTGCCGTTCGCAGGACGGTTCAAGAGCCGCAAACCATGTCCGCGAAGCTGCTGCCAGTGGGCGAGGTGGTAACCCGACTGAACCTACAGCCGCACCCGGAGGGAGGGTTTTACGCGGAGACGTTTCGCGACACGCGCGTGCAGCTATCTCTGGAGAACCTGCCTCCGGGCGAAGGATGTAAGAGTCATCGCATTGTAACACAAATGCGTGGTAACACTGTAACATCGCTAGATTAAGGGAGTCACGCGGAGGCGTTTCGCGACACGCGCGTGCAGCTATCCCTGGAGAACCTGCCTCCGAGCGAAGGATGTAAGAAATAAAGAGGGGGTTTACTCGGAGATTCGCGACGCGCGTGCAGCCATCCATGATGGACATCCTGCCTCTGGGCGCGTGGTAACACTGTAACATAGGTATAGGAATTACTCTACTGGGACGTTCAGAGAGACGCGGGTGTTTTTATCCCTTCAGAACCTGCTTCCTAGCATTGTAACACTGTAGATTGGTTGACGTTGTAGGTGGGTAAATTGACAAAGGCCATTTCAAAGTTTACGAAATTTGTGACATTGTGGTAACCTATTCGCTCTAGCCTCCCCCCTCCTTTTCCTCCTTTGTTTCGACTCTACTCCCCTGTTTACCATTTTCCCCCCTCTTCTTACTCCATTTGGTTCATTGGGCAGTCAAGGTGGGCAGGCCGGTCAGCACCTGCATTTATTTTCTTCTGCCCACGGGCAGCGTGTCTCACCTCCATCGCATGCCCTCTTCCGAAATCTTTCACCACTACGCCGGGGACCCTCTCACGGTTAGTCCTTCTCCCCTCTCCCTGTACCCCCGTCCTGCCCCCCTCACTTCGTATCATCAGCTCTTTCACCTCTACTCCTTTCCTCCCCTCTGCTCATCCCCCCCTCAATTCTCCTCATCCAGTCTTTCACCACTATGCTGGCGACCCTCTCACGATTAGTCCTTCTCCCCTTCCTACCCCCCCTACCCCTTCCTTTCCTGCTCAAATTTGTGTCATCTAGTCTTTCCTCCTCTTCCCCTCTACCCCTCTTTTATCCCCCTCGATTCGTATAAAAGTATTAAGGTATTCAAAAAATCATCTACCTCTCCTCCTACCCCTGCCCCGTGCTCCTCCCCTCCAGATCATAGAGATTGAAGATGATGAGACGATACGCAAGACCGGCTTTGGGCAGGATCTAGCAACCAGCCAATCAATCCTTCCACCACATCATTTAACCCAATGTCTGCCTCCTCCCCCACACAGCACCTTGCACCTCTCCCTCCCTTTCCCCTGCAGATTGTTGAGATAGAAGTCGATGGGTTGATTCGCAAGACCACCATCGGCCCAGACCTAGCAGCAGGCCAATCCTTCCACCACATCATCAAACCCAACGTCTGGTCCCCTCCCTTTTCTTGTCCCACTCTACCTCTCCCCCTTACACCAGATAGTTGAGGTTGAAGACGATGGGACGATCCGTAAGACTGCCCTTGGCCCAGACCTAGCAGCCGGCCAGTGCTTTCATCACATCATCAAACCCAACGTCTGGTTCGGGGCGTTCCCCACCCTTGATTTCGACGCTGAGCTGAAACGGACGGCTCGAGATGCGGGTTCAGCAGATACGCAGTACAGTTTGGTCGGTTGCACTGTAGCTCCTGCTTTTGAGTTTGCGGATTTCGAGTTGGCCAATAGGGCGGATCTGGTGGCCAGATTCCCCCATTTAGCTGATATTATTAATATCTTGACCAGTCCATAGAGTGTACAATATCATGTTGCAACGATATCAACATCACTTTGTATAGTATATAAGCGTGTGTATTATAGAAATATTCACTGCTGTACAGAGTAAAAAATGTCAGCAGATTGTGCTTCCCTGAGGCCCTAACAGTTGCTGCTCCACAAGATGCCTGCAAGAAAATGGTGCAAGGGTGGGGTCAAGGGGATGAATGGAGGGAAGGCGAGAATGCGGTTGAGATGGCTCAGGATTAAACGACTGCAAAAGATTTTATGCTTGTGCTACAATGGTGAAGGGTGGGAGCTAACTTTCGAAGCAACTCAAAAATCATCTCGGGTCCAAATGGTTGTTTGCTTGTGAGACAATGGTGAAGGGTGGGTGAAACGGTAAGGGCATGGGAGTGGAATGCAGAGGACGCAGAAAGGAGAGAGGGGAGAGAGGGGAGAGTGGCTGCACACCTTCATACCGCATCCCACCCACAACGTGAGCTCACCTGTCTGTAATTCTCCGCCCCACCACCATCCTTTTGCCACTCAGAAACGCCAGCCTGTGTTCGCCTGACTGTGGTTCACCACACCACAACCCATAGTGATGCCGGACCTTACTGCACACCTTCATACAGCATCTCACCCATGCCATGCTGGCCTGCTCGGTGCTCACCTGTCCGATATGCTCGTTCCCACCACCATCTCCTTGCCACTCATGCCACCTTGATACCGCATTGCACCCATGCCAAGTGCATCAGCTCACCTGTCTGCGATTCTCTTCCCCACCACCATCCCTTTCGCGCTCAGAAACGCCAGCCTGTGTGCGCCTAAATGTAAGTATGGCGCCCGCACCACCACCCTCTGTTGACTGTTCCCCACACTCGCTGTTGATACCGTGATCTTGCACTCTTCTTCGAGCATCACGTTTTGTCGCTCGCTGTCCTGCTGTTGCTTGCTCTCCTTTTGCTTGCTCTCTGTTAGCTTGCTCTCCGTTAGCTTGCTCTCTGTTAGCTTGCTCTCCGTTAGCTTGCTCTCCGTTAGCTTGCTCTCCGTTAGCTTGCTCTCCGTTAGCTTGCTCTCCGTTTGCTTGCTCTCCGTTTGCTTGCTCTCCGCACTTTCCCCCGTTTCCAGCAACAGCAGCAATTCCAGCCCCTCTATCCCCCCGTTCCCTTCCTTGTCTGCTTGCTTCCCCAACCCTTGAGCATTTTCAACACGAGCAGCACCAGCAGGAGCAGCACCGGCAGAATCAGCAGCCGCAGGAGCGGAGGAGAGCGAGCAAACGTGTAGGTTGAGAATGGAGTGTGCAAGGCTGTGCCATGCACTCAGGAGCACACGCCGATCCACATCCCTGCAGGTGAAGGAAGGGGGAGAGGAGTGAGGATGGGGCGTGGGTATGTGCGTGTGAGTGGGGGTGTAGACGACTTGCGAGAATGGAGTGTGCGAGGCTGTGCCATGCACTCAGCAGCACACGACGACCCACATCCCTGTGTGTGGAAGGAGGGGTTGTGAGAGTGATCAATCAAGGTGAGAGTGAAGAAGGTGAAGGGGAGAGGACAGGCGTGCATGCTGAGAATGGAGTGTGCGAGGCTGTGCCATGCAGTCAGCAGCACACGACAATCCACGTCCCTAAGTGTGGAGGAAGGGGGGGTGGGGTTGTGAATAAAGTGAGAGTGTATGTGCAGCAGGAGCTGGTAAAGGGGGGTATCGGCTCAAGGGGGAGAGGACAGACGTGCATGCTGAGAATGGAGTGTGTGAGGCTGTGCCATGCAGTCAGCAACACACGACAACCCACATCCCTGCGTGGCAAGGGAAGAGAGTCAACGGAGCGTGGGTGTGTACAGGGAGTGGTGTGTGGAGTGGATGTGTGTATCGTTTGTGTCTACTGAGAATGGAGTGTGTGAGGCTGTGCCATGCACTCAGCAGCACACGAAGCTCCACATCCCTGTGCGTACATGAAGGGGGTGAGGAGAGAGTGGTTGGGCCGTGGGTGTGAGTGGTATAGGTGACTCGTGTTGACTCGTGTTGCCTCGTTTTGACTCGTGTTGCCTCGTTTTGACTCGTGTTGACTCGTGTTGACTCACCACAGGGCAACAGGTCCGCCATGGGAGCAGCCCAGCACCCATCCGGGTCGGTGGGGCACAGCAGCCAGGGCGATGACTCGAGGAAAGGGTGGGCTTCATTGCATTGACTCGTGTTGACTCGTGTTGACTCACCAGAGGGCAACAGAGCCACCGTGAGAACACCCCAGCACCCATCCAGGCCGGTGCGGTACCGCAGCCAGGGCGATGACTGGAAAGGGGCATTGACTGCATTGACTCGTATTGACTAGCGTTGACTTGAGTTGAATATGTTGACTTTCCAAACAGCTCGACTCACCAGAGAGCAATTGACCCGCCATGCGAGCACCCCAGCACCCATCCGGGTCGCTGCGGCACAGCAGCCAGGGAGAGTTTGACTCCTGTTGACCCGTATTGACTAGTGTTGACTCGTGTTGACTCACCAGAGGGCAACAGAGCCGCCATGCGAGCACCCCAGCACCCACCCAGGCCGGTGCGGCACAGCAGCCAGGGAGATGACTCGGTGGAAGGGGTGGCTTCTGTAGGTGGCTGGGGGGAGGTGGTACCTGGACAAGGGCGACCTGAGACAGGTGGTACACGGGGGGGGAGGGGGGAGAGGGGGGGCGTGTGTGTGAGGAACACAGCACAGCAGCCAGGGAGATGACTCGGTGGAAGGGGTGGCATTTGTAACAGGCTGGGGGGAGGTGGTATCTGGCGGGGGGTGGCCTGTGAAAGGTGGTACACACAGGCAGGGTGTGGAGAATGAGTGTGTGCGGGGGGCACAGCAGCCTGGGAGATGACTCGGTGGAAGGGGTGGCCACTGTAGCAGGCCGGGGGGAGGTAATATCTGGTGAGGGGTAATCTGTGACATGGGTTGAGGGGCGTGAAAAGCACAAAGCGTAACGTATGGTGCATCAAGTTTTGAGTGTGCTGGGGAAAATGCAGTTGGTGGGAGGAAGGGATGGGCTCTGTAGCAGGCCGGGGGGAGGTGGCATCTGGCGAAGGGTGACCTGTGACAGGTGATACACAGGCAGGGTGTTGGGAATGAGTGTGGTGCTGGGGAGAATGCAGCCAGGGAGATAACTCGGCGGAAGGGGTGGGCTCTGCAGCAGGCCAGCGGGAGGTGGAGAAGTGAACAGGGGCGACCTGTGACAGGTGATACACAGGCGAAGTGTGGGAAGGAGTGAGTGTGGGGGGGCACAGCAGCCAGTCGTCTCGGGGTGGAATTGAATCTGGGGTGAGTGAGAAGGTGGCACGTGTCGCAGGGAGAAGGGAGGTACACGTGAAAAGGTACCCAACTAATATCATCCCTAGTGGCGACTAACAAGGGTGAGTCGTCCTGTAACAGTGGCACTTCCCTTCATTCCCTCTCATCTCGTCTCACCGCCCCTCACAGTCCCTCACCGTCCCTCACCTCCTCTCCCCACCTCCCCTCACCTCCTCTCACCTCCTCTCACCTTCCATCTCCTACCACCCATCCTGTCCATCTCCTAGCAGCACGCAGCACCACCATCCCCTGCTGCCATCACCACCCACTCTCCTACCCCAACTTCAACCCATTCTCCCCCCCTGTAAGTGCCCATCTCACCGCCCCTCTCAACTCCCATGTCTGTCCATCACCCAGCAGAACGCAGCCCCGGAATCCCCTGCTGCCACCACCACCCACTCTCCTACCCCAACTTCAACCCATACACCCTGTAAGTGCCCATTTCACAGCCCCTCTCACCTTCCGTGCCTGTCCATCTCCCAGCAGCACGCAGCACCACCATCCCCTGCTGCCATCACCACCCACTCTCCTACCCCGTCTTGACCCCATACACCCTGTAAGTGCCCATTTCACAGCCCCTCTCACCTTCCATGCCTGTCCATCTCCCAGCAGCACGCAGCACCACCATCCCCTGCTGCCATCACCACCCACTCTCCTACCCCGTCTTGACCCCATACACCCTGTAAGTGCCCATTTCACAGCCCCTCTCACCTTCCATGCCTGTCCATCTCCCAGCAGCACGCAGCACCACCATCCCCTGCTGCCATCACCACCCACTCTCCTACCCCGACTTGACCCCATACACCCTGTAAGTGCCCATTTCACAGCCCCTCTCACCTTCCATGCCTGTCCATCTCCCAGCAGCACGCAGCACCACCATCCCCTGCTGCCATCACCACCCACCCTCCTACCCCGACTTGACCCCATACACCCTGTAAGTGCCCATTTCACAGCCCCTCTCACCTTCCATGCCTGTCCATCTCCCAGCAGCACGCAGCACCACCATCCCCTGCTGCCATCACCACCCACCCTCCTACCCCGACTTGACCCCATACACCCTGTAAGTGCCCATTTCACAGCCCCTCTCACCTTCCGTGCCTGTCCATCTCCCAGCAGCACGCAGCACCACCATCCCCTGCTGCCATCACCACCCACTCTCCTACCCCGACTTGACCCCATACACCCTGTAAGTGCCCATTTCACAGCCCCTCTCACCTTCCATGCCTGTCCATCTCCCAGCAGCACGCAGCACCACCATCCCCTGCTGCCATCACCACCCACTCTCCTACCCCGACTTGACCCCATACACCCTGTAAGTGCCCATTTCACAGCCCCTCTCACCTTCCATGCCTGTCCATCTCCCAGCAGCACGCAGCACCACCATCCCCTGCTGCCATCACCACCCACTCTCCTACCCCGACTTGACCCCATACACCCTGTAAGTGCCCATTTCACAGCCCCTCTCACCTTCCATGCCTGTCCATCTCCCAGCAGCACGCAGCACCACCATCCCCTGCTGCCATCACCACCCACTCTCCTACCCCGACTTGACCCCATACACCCTGTAAGTGCCCATTTCACAGCCCCTCTCACCTTCCATGCCTGTCCATCTCCCAGCAGCACGCAGCACCACCATCCCCTGCTGCCACCACCACCCACTCTCCTCCTCCCTCCATGCCTCCTCCCTCCGTTCCTCCTCCCTCCCTGCCCTCCTCTTCCTCCCCCTTCCCCATCTCCTTCCCTCCTCTTATCCTCTTCCACGGCCGCCCGCCTGCATTCCTCCGCCTCCTCACGACCACCACAGCCCACATCTGTGCGACCTTCAGAGCAGGACTTGAGAGGCTTGAGAGGGAGGGGAACGGTGGGACGCAGGCAGAGAGATCAGGGGAGGAACGGAGGGAAGCGGAAGAGGCAGAGGCACTGGTGGGTGCTTCTGGGAATTCGAGAAGACAGGATTGAAGCCCAGTCCCCTTTTTGCTTGATTTTTCCATCTCTAAGTCCAACTCGACCACTGTCACCCCACCAGAAGCACTTCCCCTCCTGCCACTGCTGCGGCTGCTGCTGCGGCTGCTGCTGCTGCTGTTGCTGCTGCTGCTGCTGTTGCTGTTGGCATCGCATGCAGCTGCGTCAGTAGGCTTCGTTATAAGCTCAAACGGCGGGAAGAGAGTAGTGAAGCAGTTAGCGAGGTAGAGGCGGGTGCCGCAAGGAGAGAAAGCCATAGCGTGTCGCTCAGGGAACACCTGAATGTATGGTGGGAAAGGGGCGGGGAGAGGGGGGCGGAGGGAAGGGGTGGTTAGCGAGGTATAGGCTGGTGCCGCAGGGAGAGAAGGCCAAGGATTGGGGCTCAAAGAACACCTGATAGAGGGTGTGGTGAAGGGGGGGGGGGGGAGTGGGGTGAAGAGGGGGGGAGGGGTTGTGAAGACTGCAATGCAGTGGTGGTTACTGAGGGAAGAGGAGAGAGAGTGGAAGATGTAACCATGGTTGATATAATACAAAAGGACGTTTGAGTGGAAGATGGATCCGCAAGGAGCAAGAGGGCGCCCTCACCTCCGTCCGTGCTTCTGCTTGGTCGACCTTTACACCCAAGCTGCCCACCAGCCTGAACCAAAGGAGCAGAGGAGCCGAGGAGTGGACTCAAGTGTTACCTTTTTCCCTCACCTCCGTCCGTGCTTCTGCTTGGTCGACCTTTACACCCAAGCTGCCCACCAGCCTGAACCACGGAGCCCCATGCCCTGCTGCTTCTTGAGACGTCCCTAGCTCTTCCCTCCCTGCCGCGTTTTCTCCCGCATTTCCTCCTGCTGTCTCTTCTGGCCTTATCCCTCCAACACCACTCCCTGCCACACCACTCCCTGCCACACCACTCCCTGCCATGGCACTCCACTCGCTACACATCACTTCATACACCACAATCAGCCGCTCTCCCTCTCCCTCCTTCCCCATACACACAGCGATGCGCGCTCCTCGATCCACATGCGCCTTTTGAAACGCCTCGAGGCTCGAATGGAGCGCACAACCACCGGCACGTGCCTCTGAATGCACCTTCTCTGAGTGACCATTGGCAAAATAAGGGCAACGGGAGTTGTTTCTCGTCCCCTCCCACACGTGCACAGCCAGCACTGGCAGTGGATGGTGCACCTCTATAAACACACCATCCCCCCCTCCCCTACAGTTTGAGTGACTGTTATCCTCCAGCACTGGCAGTGGACGCTGCACCTCTATACACACAGCATCCCCCCCTCCCACACTCACACCATTGTTATCTTTCCCATCTACCCCACCTTCTCCATCTTTCCTATCATCCACATTCTTCCCAACTTCCCCATCCTTTTTGTCGGCCACATCTCTCCCACCCTTCACATGCATACGCCTTCCTCCCCCCTCTCTTCCCCGCATATCACCCCCCTCTTTTAGAATTTCAGCACCTTCCTGACCCATCGGCTCCTCTTTCTTTTCTCTCACCTCCTCTCCCCTCTCCTCGTTCCCCTCCTCTCCCCTTTCCTCTCTCCTCTCCTCTCTTCCCACTTCTTTCCCCTCCTCTCCATTCTCTCTCACATCCTCTCTCCCACGCTCTCTTCCCTCCTCCACTCCCTCCGCTCCCCCCTTTCCTCCTCCCGCCTCCCTCTCTCCCTGTCTCACATCCTCTCTCCTATCCTCTCCCTCCCCCTCGCCACAGGGTTGTGACAATAACAGTGGATTGCGTGCAGAGTCAGAAGGAACAGTCGGGTGTGACAATGACGGAGGTGACAGCAAAGGTGGCACCCCTTCCCCTTCGTTAAAGATTGTAGGCAGTGACAACATCTTGTGTGATAATAATGGGGGCTTGTGAGTGGAGTCTGAACGAGCAGCCGGGAGTGACAGTGGCAGGGGTGACTGAAACGAAGGCGTGGAATGAGGGCTGTTTTTGACTAGCGCCAGAGGGGAGTATCCTTTAGGCGTTATGCCTTTTTGCGAACTGCCTTTCAGTGTACTGCCTTTAGGTGTTCTGTCTTTTGGCAAGCTGCCTTGAACCGTGCTTTCTGCTGCTGATGATGGTTCTGCTGCCGCTGCTTCTGCTGCTGCCGCTGCTGCTCCTGCAACACCTGTTGCTTGGGGTGACCATGACCCTGCAACCTCTGCACCAGCTGCCCCAAAAGCACTTACGCTCACGCCCTTATGTCGCTTCGGCTGAGGACTTTCCCTGAGTGCGTTTCTGCTTCCCACTGCTTCTGATACAGCACGAGGTGAATTTTGAGTTGACTCAAAAGTCACCTCGCTCACGCCCTTACGTCGCTTCGGCTGAGGACTTTCTCTGAGCGCATTTCTGCTTCCCACTGCTTCTGATACCGCTGCTGCTCCTGCAACACCTGTTGCTTGGGGTGACAATGACTCTGCAACCTCTGCACCAGCTGCACCAGAAGCACTTACGCCCACGCCCTTACGTCGCTTGGACTGAGGACTTTCTCTGAGTGCGTTTCTGCTTCCCATTGCTTCTGATACACCACGTGTGCTCTCCTCTGTCCCTTCCATCTCCCCCCTCCTGCTCGTACCCTTCCCAGAATTGCTCCTCTGCTTCTTTCTAGATTTCATCAGGCGGGTATCAGTACGTCGAGAGTTGCTGGGAGCATTAGCAGCAGGAGTTACTGGTTGGGACACGTCAGTTGTTGGAGGTCCGTCAGTTGCTGGAGGTCCGTCAGTTGTTGGAGGTCCGTCAGTTGCTGGAGGTTCGTCAGTCGCTGGAGGAGGTCCGTCAATTGACTTTTTTGCCTCTGTTTTCGCTGGGCTGCTTTCCAATTGCCACGCTGATACTGATTCGCCGCTCAGATTGAACCCGTCCAAAAATGTCCTCATATCCGCACCTTCCTTAATGTCACAACTCTCGCCTCTACCCTCCCCTTCACCACTATCACAGCCATCGGACTGGCTCTCATCTCCTCCCTTTCCACCACGAAAAGAACCGCCAGTACCGTTGCAAACCGAATCACCTCGTTCTCCACCACCGATATCCTCGCTAATAGCATCTTCGTCACTGTCTGGAACAACCTCGTTGCTGCGGCCACTGCCTGAGTGCGGATTTACTAGACTCGCAGAAGCCACATTTGAATATTCATTCACAGCAGCAGTTGACGCCTGAGACCACAGTCCAAGTGAAACCCTTGATGTCGGTCTTGATGCTTTTTGAGACGTCTCAAAAAGCGGAGGCTCATCCACAGCAGCGGTTGACGCCTGAGACAACAGTCCAAGTGAAACCCTAGCTGCTGGTCTTGATGCTTTTTGAGACGTCTCAAAAAGCGGGGGCTCATTCACAGCAGCGGTTGACGTCTGAGACAACAGTCCAAGTAAAACCCTAGCGGTTGGTCTTGCTGCTCTGACGGGCCCTCCTGGGGTTCTTTTGGCCTCCGGCGTGCGAGCTGCTGTTGCTGCTGCTGTCGCTGCTGCTGTCGCTGCTGCTGCAGTTGCTGCTGGTGAAGAAGATTCTGAAGGCAATAACGGGGATAAAGACAGCTGTCGCATCCGTCTCAGATCACCCACGGTGCGCGGTCTCCTTCGCAGAGTCTTGTCACCTTGCGGTACAGGAACACTGCCTGATTTTGATGACGAAGGAACAGGAGAATTAAGAGTTTCAATTAATTGACTGTTCGCACTACCGCCCTGGTCCCTCCTCATAATGGCAGGATCATGAGAAGTCACATCGCGGAGTGGCGATCCCTCCTCGGCGAAATTCGCTTCGCGTTTCGACAAGTTTAACTTCGCGGCGCCGTTTGCTGACGGAGTTAGCGAGGCGTCCAAACGGCCGTCAGGAGAAACAGGCGTTAGCGGGGACGAGGCATTCCCTTGAGGACCACAACTCTTCTTCGCGCGCTTTTGCCTCGGCTTACGCGTTTTCCACTCCATGGAGGTCGTCGTGCTAGCGGTTCGAGCGACAGTCCGGGCCATGGCGGACTAAAGGCAATGCTAGCTGGCTCTCCCGTGTTGGCCGTTCTCACTGGAGAAATAACCAAGTAACTTGCGAAGGACTACGCAGAGGATCTCGAGAAGAAGAAGCGAGGCGAAACCATGACGCAGCTGATGCTATGAAAGACAGTAATGAACGTAGTACTACTCCATATAAACTCAATCGCTCTACAATCCAAATCACTGGAACCGCGATCGAACCTACGCTGGGTCTATTCGCACGCTTACCGAGGAGGTTCTGGAAAACTGGCTGAGCTAGCAGGGAGAAATTGTGAATGTACCGCGAGGGATAATATGTATGAGCAGGGTCGGAAAGAGTGAAGGTGACGCGACAATATCAAGGAATGAAGCTGAAGTTTCAAACTTTACGCTAGGTTCAGAATGGTTTGGTGTGCTTCGGCTATATACTACCGTGGTACAGTTTGGTTGCAGGTCGAGGAGGGGCTGTTCAAGCCTGGTGCACACCGCAATTGCCATGTCCCGTTGGTGTTGCTGGGGTGAGAACGCGGGAGTTATCGAGTTTGAATTGTTGGTGAACGCGATAATGCGTGCTCCGAGGTTGGCAATAACGCGATTCTTGTGCTGGATAACGCGATTTCTTGTGCTGCATAGCGAGCGTTATCGATATATGGTGCTAACCACTCAAATACCTTTCAAGATTAACGCGGCCTTGCTAATACCCGTGAGTAATCAGCAATCAGTTGCATGGCCTTCGCTCTTTCAGTGTCCCCACCAGGGAAGTGAAGTCACGCACACAGCGGACAGTCATGGACACTCCAGGTGTGACTAACACCTTCAGAAATAATATTCATGCTCCTAGCACAATTGGAGCATTGAAAGGTGTGACTGAAAAAAGGACACATCTTCGAGCAAACCAAACCGCGGGGAGTCCAATGTAGTAGGCTCATTCACGGTACACCAACATTAATGCACCAGCAAGAAAAAAGCAAGAAAACTTAAGTTCATGAGATCAGATCAGAACCAATAGAAGGATGCCATGCCAAGCATCAAACGTTTCCAAGACAGGTGCATTAATGCAGAAACAATGTTGCCTCGAAATCACACAACAGATGGCCAAAGCCCTATAACCATTTACAGCTAATCACCGGTAGAAAGGAAACGACCAGCCGCTACCGTGGATCAGTGCGACACGACGCCAAGCATTCCGTGAAATCCGCTTCTTCAGTTCTTGAGAGCATTCTGCCTGGAGATGGGATTCATGACGACCGGAGGACCAGCCTCCCGTGGCCACGCGTCAAGAAGCTTGTCGCTGGCTTGGATCCACTCCCGCGTCATGGTCCGCGGGGTCTCTCCGCCGAACGGCTGCGCGCGAGCGGCAAGCCAGAGGCCGTAGGACAGCGCGAGAGCCGAGAGGATCGGCGGGCCGACCTTGCTAAAGGGCGCGACCGTCATGGTGAGGTGCTCGGGACGCGAGAAGCGCTATAAAGCGTGATTCTGGAAGCTAGGAAATCTAGCAGGAACTTAGGGTTACAGGCTCTCGAATAGGATCTCTGGCAAGGAATGGTCTCCAGCAAAGAAACGTAGCTAGCGGAACAAAACTACATGGGCGGAGGAGACTGGGTGGAAGGGGGGAAAGTTGGGAGAACAACGGGGAAGGGGGGAGCTGGCTGGGGGGGCACGAGGGGGGGAAAGCTTGAGGGGAAGATGGAAAGGGGAAGAAAGTGTTGGGAGCAAGGGGGAAGGCGGTGGCGGAGATTTGGTGGTCCGGGTTGGATGGCGGTATGGGCGTAGAAGAGCAATTGGCCCGCGAGCCCCGCGAAACAAGCTTGAGAACCAATCGGCAGCGCCGAAATGTTCTCTGACCCTCTGGAAAGTTGTTACCAGATTTTCGATTTCGGTTCGGTTAGAGACGATTCTGCCAAAAGTTGGCTATTTTGGAAGGGATGTTTCGCGTCCCTGGGTCGGTGCGAATTCGTGCGAAATTTGGCATTTCGTGTAAGCCAAGGAACCAAGAGTGCCACAACTTGAATCATTTTCCAATTCGCCTCGCAGGCTAATCACCCCATCAACTCATTATAACTCGTATCTCATTTTCCGCCGTCACGAGCCCGCTCTCCGCAAATTACGCTCTCTGCGGCATTAGCAGCGTCCTTAAAGCCCTTAGGAACCCCGAAGCTGCCTCGGCGACGTGGCCGCATGGCGTCCAGCGCGAGCGGAAGGCGACTGTCGACAGTCGTCCTTCCGAACCTTCACCTCCGCCTGCGCTGCTCCTGCGCGATCCGCGCGAACGCTTCGGCCCCTTCAATTTCCGCGACGCGGCAAGGCTCGCCAGTGGCGTCCCTGGATCGGCAGTTCTCCGCAGGACCGGCGGGACTGGGGGAATCCGCGCGACCTCCGCGCCCGTCGTCGGACTATCCGTCGCGCCCGCCGCCGCCTGAAGCCAGTAAGCTCGGAACATTCCGTCCTCCAGAACTCGCTCTGTGTGATCTCAAAATACACGCCCGCAGGCCCTGAATGACGCGAGGCGGGGTTGTTACACGGCGGTCGCCGCCTGAAGCCAGTACGCTCGGAACACTCTTCCTCCAAAACTCGCTCTGTGCGATCTCAGAATACGCTCCCGCATGCCCTGAATGACGCTAGGCGGGTTGTGAGTCGACTCAACACGGGGTTGTTGCAAGGCTGTCGCCGCCTGAACGTCAGGCGGTCGCCGCCTCAACTTCCCAAATTTGTCGAACGGCGGGGGTGATTTGGACAGGGGGTGTCAGAACATTGTACTTCGGGATGCACTGCGGCGCCAGAACGTTGAACGTCAGGTGGTCGGCCCCTGAAGCCAGTACGCTCGGATCGAAACATTCTTCCTCCGGAACACGCGCCTGCACGTTCTGTGCGATCTCAGAACACGCGCCCGCATGCCCTGAGTGGCGCGAGGCCGGGTTGTTATAAGGCGGTCGCCGCCTGAAGCCAGCGCGCTCGGATCTGTACGCTCGGATATGTACGCTCGGATCTGTACGCTCTGATCTGTACGCTCGGATTTGTACGCTCGGATCTGTACGCTCGGATCTGTACGCTCGGATCTGTACGCTCGGATTTGTACGCTCGGATCGGAACACTCTTCCTCCAGAACACGTGCCCGCGCGTAGCATTTCCAACCAAGTAGCACACGCCGCGCTTTCTCTCCCCCTCATCTGTCTGCTCCTCTTCTCTGCCCCACCGCACCACCCCCCCGCTCTCAGTCTCTCTAATTCCCCTTCGCCCAGTTCCCGTAATCCAGCTCTGAGCCCTGAGGTCTTCCCCTTCCCCTTCCCCCCTTCCCCTTCCCCCCTTCCCCTTCCCCCCTTCCCCTTCCCCCTTCCTCTCCCCCGTTTCCCTTCCGCGCTTCCCGCTTTCCCCCTGCCCCTTCACCATTCCTTTCCCCCCTCTCCCAGTGTCCATTATTGAGCGAGGACAGCTGGTATCGGGAGAGGGGGGAAGGCTGCAGGAGAGCAAGAGACGTCTCAACGCTCCGTCCCCCCGCCCGCCCTTTCTTTCCCCTTCCCCTCCCTTCTTCCCCCTCCCCTCCCCCCCAGTGCCCATCATCGAGCCAGGCCAGCCGGTACCAGGACAGGGGGGGGGGAGGGAGGAGAGCAGCAGGTGACTAATGCGATGTCCCACCTCTCTGTTTCCCCCCCCTTCTCCCCCCCCTTCTCCCCCCCTTCTCCCCCCCCTTCTCCCCCCCTTCTCCCCCCCCTTCTCCCCCCCCTTCTCCCCCCCCTTCTCTACCCCTCCCCCTTTTCCCATCCCAGTGCCCATCATTGAGCCAGGCCAGCCGGTACCAGGGCAGCAGGGGAGGGCAACAGGGCAGGGCGGAAACAGGGAGGGGAATGAGGGGGGAATATTGCGGGAGAGATGTCCGTCCCTGTTTCTCACCCACCCCTCCTCCCCCTGTCCTTCCCGGCCCCCCAGTGCCCATCATTGAGCCAGGCCAGCCGGTACCAGGGCAGGGGGGGAGGGCGGAGGCTAGCGGGAGCAGGGAGGGAAATATGGGTGCATGGCCGCTGCGTGCTAAACTTTGTCTCTCCTCTCCCCACCTTCCCTCTCCTCTTCCCCTTCCCCCCAGTGCCCATCATTGAGCCAGGCCAGCCGGTACCAGGGCAGGGGGGGAGGGCGGAGGAGAGTGGCAGCAGGGAGGGGGATGAGGGCGGGATTTTGCAGGACCCAGCGCGAATGCAGGAGGTGTTTGGAGCGATAAGGGAGCACCGAATAGACACAGTGGGGAGAGAGAAGGTGGGTGTATGTGGGTGCAGAGGGGTGCAGAGGGGTGTTGTTGAGTGCTGGTGGGTGCAATTAAGTTGAGGGGATTATTGCGGGATCCAGGGCGAATGCAGGAGGTGTTTGCGGTGATAAGGGAGCATTGAATTGACACCGTGGGGAGAGGAAAGGTGGGTTGGTTTGACAGACAAGGCAAATGATGCAGATGGGTGCAGGCAGGTTGAGGGGCATAGGACCCAGGGCGAATGCAGGAGGTGTTTGCGGCGATAAGGGAGCATCGAATTGACACTGTGGGGAGAGAGCAGGTGGGTTGGGATTCATTCTGAGGCAGGTGGGTGGAGGTAGTTGCAGATGGATGCAAGTGGGTTGAGGGGGCATGGGTGTGGGTGTGGGCATGGGTGTGGGTGTGGGCATGGGTGTTTGGGGCCATTTGGGAGCACCGAGTCGACACCGTGGGGAGAGGGCAGGTGGGTTGTATCGCGTTGGGAGTATATGTGTGAAGAATGTGTGGGGCTTAGGGCGAATGCAAAGGTGTTTGGAGCGATATGGGAGCACCGAGTCGACACCGTGGGGAGAGGGCAGGTGGGTTGGGATGAATGATGAGGAAGGTAGGTGCAGATGGGTGCAGGTGGGTTGAGTTGAGGGGGATGAGGATGGGACCTAGGGCGAACGCAGGAGGAAGCACCAGCAGCTTATGCTACCCGGCTGCTTGTGCAGATTCACAGAGTCACTGATTATGCTGATACTGCTGCTTCCCACTTTTTGAGGCGCCCAAATTATCGTCTCAGTTTTGAGGCACCCCGAAAATAGCACAAGCAGGTGATGCTGAATCACAGAGTCACCGATTCTTGATGCTCGTACTGCTTCTTCCCTCTTCTCAGGGAAGCTATTATTTCTATTCGTACTTCTCTCTTCCTCGCTCTCCTCCGTCCAACTACCGGCCTGCAGACGATGCAAGAAACTCAAAACGACAAGACTTTGTCAGGGAAAATTTCACACACTCCCTTCTCTCACACTCCTCTTCTCTACACTCTCGTCTATCTCTCTCCCGTCCTGCAGACTAGGTGGGAGTCTCAAGGCGACAAGACTTTGTCAGGGCGAATCACCCTGGCTCAGCTGAAGGAGCTGCTCGCTCTCCCTTCCCTCACACTCCATTCTTCCACACTCCTCTCCGCCCCTCCCCCCACCTGCAGGCAAGGCAGGACCTTTGAGACGGCAAGTCCCCATCAGGGCGAATCACCCTGGCTCAGCTGAAGGAATTGCTCGCTCTCCCTTCCCTCACACTCCATCCCTCCACACTCCTCTCTGCCCCTCTCCCCCCCTTCAGACGAGGCAGGACGCTCAAGGCGACAAGACTTTGTCAGGGCGAATCACTCTGGCTCAGCTGAAGGAGCTGCTCGCTCTACATGCACAGGGCAGTGGGGACAGGAGCAGCAGGGGCAGTGGGGACAGCAGCAGCAGCAGCAGCAGCAGCAGCGGCCCTGTGGTTACCGGAGTTGACTGCTTAGCTCTCCGGTTCTCCATTGATGCTTCTCTATTGGCCAAGGTTCTCGCACATGTGCGCATGCCCATTCCTGAAACATGATGGGACCAATAGCGTGTGGTTAGGCAGCTATTGTTGAGCGCTGATGGTTCTCTGTTGGCCAAGGTTCTCGCACATGTGCGCATGCCCAATCCTGAAGCATTATCGGATTGATAGTGTGTGGCATTGGCAATCATTCTTGGCAATTGATGCTATGTTCAAGATGCTTGTGCAGTGCACATTCCCTGTTTTTTCTTAAGTGCTTGATTGATTGGCAGCAATGTGCGCATATCGGTTCCTCATGTGTGATTTTACTTGTAGCGTGGACATAAGCATGCCACGACACAGGCAACTAGCATGTGAAGCAGGCGAGTGTTCATGCACGACGCCTGTTTTCTTGCTGGAACATACGTCGTACCAGCCCCGATGACACTTTCTTACTAGGCACTACGTTACGCGTGCTAATGCACAAGTACCAGGTTGTATGCATGTTTTTTCCAATATGACTAGTTCCTACTTGACTGCGGACTATATTGACTTGGCGTTAGGGACGCGGGATTTGGTGCACTTCCTTTCTATGTGTTATTACTTGTAATACGTCTAGATTGTTGTACACTACCTAACTGGTTAGTACGTCTAATGTGGCGATTGGTGTATTCCACGCAGCGCCATTGGAGCTTGC